GTGCAATTGAAGTAAACCAAGATCAACTGTCTTGAGAATCCATAAAAGGCTTAAACTATTAAGAAAGGAGAGGGCATAGAAACGATTCAACTATGTCTCAAAAGTAAGGCGGGTGTTCAAGGCACCAGTAATGCAGGCCATACAAAGGATACGTGGATGACTGGAAATGTACTGAAGAGTGTTGCATAAGAGTCCCGTGGAGAGTAAACTAAAGTTGACTATATAGACGTGGAAGGCTGCCAGAGAAATGGAGCAGATTTTATAACCTGAAATAACCTGAACCTTAAACTTAAGCAAAGCAGAATACAGCAAGAATTCATAAACTTTTAGACCAACAAAATAAACTACGCCTTGCAGTCGCAGTGAAACCTGAGGAAAGAGTTAAACACTAGCGTGGACTCAAGGACAAACTGATTAGAATTCAGTGGTCAAAGATTAAAGTCATCGTGACTTCACAAATTCATGTTTTCGTCAGACTGGTGGCACTGGTCCTTGGTACTTACTTTAAATTACTTCAAAATCCACACATCCACAGTAGTAGTAACAGCAAATTAGCATCTACAGATTGTGTAACAAGTTGAGCTGCAGCAGTCATGTCCTTTTTATGAACAGCTGATTGGTTTTGACTGAATGGGGTCACTCTCGTTTCCAGTCACACTAACTTAATTATTATTGGGTTATTTGAGACTTAGACGTTCAAATATAATTTTAACTTGAGTGTTTCTTGGCAACTGATTTTGTAGCTGCTAGTCTAGTCGGGGGGGGGTTGATCTGTTTATAGCGAGTCTGTCAGAGTTTATTAAAAGTTTAACCTGCTTCAGTAACATTTTTGTTTCCTTGTAGAAAAGGAATTCACCCCGAGCAGACAGAAACTTAAAATGCTAACACAGCCATTCCTAAATTAACAGCCAAATAAATGACAAATATTACTTATTGTTTAATAGTTTCTGAAATCGTGACATTTACAGCATCTGGTACAACAGCCTTTTAATAATGTCCGTAGTAAAAATGACGAAGGTGGTTGAACTGTTGTGGGTGTATGGTTGACATTTCTGCTATAATTACCCAGGGTAACTAGCTTAAAAAGTCTCAGTCTCCAGATAGTTTTACTGTTATTTTAGCAGTCGTTTCAATGACTCATGAGCATTTGTGTGCAGTGACGCTTCTCATTTGTATTATACTCCTAGTTTGTGACATTGTTTCTGGCAGTCTGAACTTAATTATGGTACCATCTGTCCTTTACATTGAGTTATTTCCAAGTAATAGTACAGTGAGTGGTGCATGCTGATCCCCTCCCTCGGTGTTCCCTCCTTGCACAAGTTCAACCATTGCCAAATCAACAACAAGTCATTTTTATACAGAACTGAGAATCTGCTAACTTGACAAACTCCTGCCTTCAGTTTAGGTCCTGGTGTCATCAAAAGGCTGCTTGTTGCTATTTCAAAAGCACCGTGTGTCCTCCCACAGAAACATGTGTGTGGTTTGTGTTCAGTAAAGCTGTTTGTGTCTGTAAAAAATAAATCTTATTTGCATTGGAGTGATTTCCTCTTTTCAACAAGCAGAGCAAATGCATTTGGAAAGGTTCTCAAAAGTAACAAACATGCAGCACGTCACTTGATTAAGAACATGGGAGTAAGAAGTGCTTGCGTCAGTAGCTGATAATCATGAGTAAAAGACACGAAACAAAGAGCACTTTGTTTTCATGTCCAGCTCGTCCCCCCCTCCCTGTGAGTCAGAGTGAGCAGCAAGTTCAGCACAAAACTCTCTGTATCGCTATATTTTGCTTTCGGACATTTTGCATGTGAAAATCCACATGATTTGAAGATATGCAAATAGCTTGTTTATCATACGATCAAAATATGTCTGATAATAAGGTATTTTAGTTTAACAAAGGAGTGATGTTCAAATCATGTCTTTTGATGAAGACAGCAACAGAAAGCTCTTGAAAATGTAGTTACTACATAACCTTTTGAAAATGAAATTTACATAAAGAAAGCTACTTTGAACTGCTTCCTTATTCATAAGAGGTGCCCACAGCAGATACAGTGCATCCTGAAAGTATTCACAACGTATCTCTTGTTCCACATTTTGTCATGTTACAGCCTTATTTTAAAATGGATTAAATTTTATTTTTCACTTTAAAATTCTGGACACGACACCCTATGATGACAAAGTGAACAAAGGCATCCAAGAAAGAGTCTCCAGTGTGACGGGTTGGACAGCAGCATATCCTTCTTTTTCAAGTTGTATCTTAAATTTACACTGAACATCACTGTTGCTTTATGTCCACGGTAAATTATGCATGAATTAGCTTTCTGATCTTCAGACTTCTCTGTATCAGAGCCGGCAAGAGGCATAAGCAGACTAAGCAGACTACAGACTAAGCCTGTATTAAAATATCTCAGGGATTAAAGTTTGCACTGATAGAAAGGGCAGTTTCACTGGTTCGGCCCACAAAAGGTCAAAGTGGGCTGTTGTGTGGCCCACAGCATGAAACAAAAAGCGGGTTTGACATCCCTGTGCTAGATTTATAACACAGAAATAAACAATCATGGGCAATATATAGTCAATACTGATGGTGGATGGTTTTAGCTGAGGTTGGGGGTGCTAATTCAAATTCTGCTTAAGGCTGTAAAACTATAAAACCTTGGACTGGCTCTGCTCTGTGTAATGAGTCCAAATATGTTGTCATGGTCCAGAGTCTGTGAACTCAGTGGTTTTGGTTTTGACATAGATATGTCAAAACCAAACAAGATGACATAGATAAGATAATAATCTTATGTTTTAGGTTCATTCTTGTTGGGAATTTCTTGGTCTCAGGTTTTGTTTCTGTTTCGTATTTCGAGCTCCTTTTGTTCTGTGTCTCTGTGCCTGCCCTGGTCCCACGTCTTTGTGTTCCCTCCCTGTTGCCATGTCTTGTGTTAAGCTCGTGTCTGTGCATACTTGTTGTATTTCCTGTTTTACTTTGAAGGTCCTTGTCTTATGTCAGTGTGTTCAGTTTACGTTTCCCCTGTCTCGTCAGCTCTGATTTCTCACAGCTGTTGCACTCCTGTATCCCATTCCCTGATTGCCCCTGTGGGTATGTAAGCCCTGTGTTTTCTGCTGCTTGTTGCTGGTCCATCTGTGTTGTGTTGTTAAATCATAATTTAGCCCAGCCATATTCATGGATGCACTGTGCCAGGCATGTGCAGAGGCGGGGGCGCAGGGGGCTTGAGCACCTGTCCCTTTCCTCTTATGGTTCCAAGTGCTGTCACCGATCTTTGCAATACAGAGGAAAACTTCACCGCTGAGGTGAGTCACACTACTGTTGAAGACAGCAACACAGCAACACAGCTGCAGAGCTTAGTGTGAAGGTTTCGACACAAACCACAGAGGCTCCACACACACTCTTCAGACTTGAAAACCACTAGAGAAGCTGATTTGGAGGTCCAATGTAAAAAAAACAGCAGGAGGAGATTGAACAACAGCTCCTCAAAAATCAAATCTAGAAGAAGAAGTTGGAAAACACAAAAATAACAACAAAGAGCCCACTGTGAGTTTGCAGAGCTCAAAGCAAAACTCTGTGCCAGTGAGGCTTTTTCCAAGAAAAATGATTTGAAGGTCCAAAACCTAAAATATGAGTTGGAAAAAACCAAAGCTTCACATCGAAGCAAAACCAGGAGAACACAAACATCAAAAACCAACTCCAGAAAACAGAAAAAGAAAATATCGTACTTCAGGAGTCTTTGCAGGCTCTGCAAGACACAAGAAAGAAACAAGAAAATTAGTCCAACATTGCCAAACAAGACAATTCTCAAGCCCGGTATGAGACAGTACAGCAGTCAAGTTCAGAAAAAGAGGCCAGTGTTAACAAACCAGATCATTCTCCAGCTCAAAGCGAGACACTCCAGGAGAATCAGCAAGATTCTCTCACCCATAAAAAATCTCCATCGACCAATCAAGTAAAACAATTCGATTACCAAAACATCTGAAGTGTGAACATTTAATTTTGTTTTACTTTTGTAAGAGTATTTAAAATGTTCATGTCCGTTACAATAAATTAACAGCAGAAATAAATATGTTTACAGCCTGGTTAAAAACTTTGTTCTGTGAATAATAGCCACTGTATCTGTGCTGTTGATGCCTTTTGGAAGCAAATAGAATCTATCAAGCTTTGCTCAATGGTTCATGGCATTATAATAATCATGGATTATTCTAATTATGACATTAAAAACACACACACACACTGTATTTTAAAGAAAATACATTAAGAAACAGATTATATTAGATTCATATTTCAAAAGAGTCAAAAGGCTGATTTTACAGCAGCAACATTGTTGCATCTCTACGATTTAAACATTTAATAAGCTTTCTGCTTTGCGCAGAATGGACAGCCAAACAAATTGAATTATCATAAATACATTATTTTATATGTATTACTTTTTTTTGCTGTTGTTTTTATTACTTTGTTATTTTAGCACTAGGAATTGTCACAGCTAGCGGGGCGAGCCGTGTGTAATTTATTAAAGGACCCAAGATCCAGGCACTAGTGATGTGAGTGGGCTTTTATTGAGGAGGATGACGTACAACAAAAGGCAAAGGATGGCGAGAACAGACAAAACCTAACTGGGAAAACTAAGAATAAAACAAATCTGAAACCTAGAGACACAAACGGAGATGCAGGGGAACCACACAGGATGACGGAGGGAGATAACGCAGATGAACCAGCAACAGGCAGGAGAACACACAGGGCTTAAATACTCACAGCAGCAATCAAGGGATGGGAGACAGGAGGGCAACACACCGGGGAGAAATCAGAGCTGATAAGACAGGGGAAATGTAATCTGAACACACTCACATGAGGCAGAGACCTTCAGAATAAAACAGGAAACTCGCAGACACAGAGATCCAGACAGACTGAACTTAACAGACAGATTCACGAGCAGACACGGGGACACCATGGACAGACAGAGGGAACACAGAGAAGTGTGAGCAGGCAGGCACAGAGCAGAAACCTAACAAATGGCAAACCCTAACAAAAGACATAACCAGAATAAACAAGAACATAGAATAATATAAGGAAACACAAAACACTGAGTGGTCAGACTCAAGACCATGACAGGAATAAATAATAAGGGATCAGCACGATGGTGCAAACTTGTGGCCATAGTATATACAGTATGGAGAAGATATAAATGTCATTGTGCATGTGTGTGGGCATGTTTTATGGATATATAATTATTACTCAAGTATTTAAAGAGTAATAAACACAACTGTAATGGTTTGGTTCTTTAACGTTTTTCTATCATTACTCTATTATGGATTAGGTGCCAGAGTTGTTAAGTGTGGATAATTAAATAATACATTAATGCAACAGCAAATCGTGCCTTGTTCTCAGATGGACGGCAAGTTGAGAGTGACAGATCAGATGTGGAGATGGAGCGAGGCAAAGAGTGAGTAACAGACAGAGCCTAGTTTATTTCCCACCGTTTTTAAAATCTGTTGCATTAAGGTTCCAAGCAGTGTTACTGATCTTTGCATTTTATTATTATCCCATAACACTTGTTTAATCAGCCACCATGTCTACAGTCTCAGATCAACACAGCCCTGCCCTCCAGCACTATCAGCAGCAGCAGCAACCCCTCAACACCAACATTGAACCCTATCAGTAAAACACAGGCTACATTCCCCCACCTGGTGACAGTGATATAGTATGATGCGATTCCATATTATGATGAATGTGCGTTGTTGGTATTCAGCCTGCTTTTATGTGCCCTTTGTTAACATTGAGCACCTACCCCTTCAAACATCTGTGCACGGCCCTGCACTGTGCAGAATTGAAGATGTTATGTTTGTAAAAGAGGAAGAACCTGTTAAAGACAACAAAGAAGCCTGAGATTGGCACGAGATTCACAGAATCACATAGCGTGCAGTAGTTGTTTATGCATAAACCGAAGAACCGGATCAGAGCAACAGTGTGTAACCGCCCGGTTCGCCCCGCCCACTTGCTCCGCCTGACCCCCTCCACCGGCTCATCTCCCGCCTTCGTGCAGACCTCCGCTGCAGAAGCTACTGTCTCTTTCGGCTCCATTAGGTCTCAGAAAGTGATTCAAAATGCCAATAACACTGGCTTACTGGGATATTCGTGGGGTAAGTGGAGCTGACAGGGAGCTGAAAAACTCCCTGTGTGTGCAGCCCGCAGTTGTTCGCAACGGCTGAACCTCCATCTAATCGACAAAAATACTGATTTCCCGTCTTGTCATGGCCATTTTCTGTTTTTAAACCTCGATGGCGTCTAACCTTTAGCGGATAGCGTTAGTGTGTTTAATTTTTAAGATGTGTAACTGTGTATAGAAACTGTTTGAAGCTCGCTAAGTTATTATGTAACTGCAAAACAGCCGAGCTCGGCGTGTTTTTACACAAACTGTTATCTTTGTCAGTGTAGCCTGATAGCTGACGTGTTACGCTATTTAGAGCCGAGATGCTAGTAACATTTGAGGTTACATTATTCAACGAGTCAGACTTCATGCAAAACTAGTGTAGGGTTAGCTATGTGGGACATATTCCTTTCTAAACCTCTTACATTGTCAAAGCACAGGGACGTGTGCACAGTGTGAGGGCTGCTCGTGTGAGCAGAGTTCAAGTCTCTAAATGGTTTCAGCTGTCTGCAAAATCTCATGAATTTCTGCTCCTCCCATTGATCTAGACTTACTGGCAAATGAAGTCATCTGAACAAGCCACGAGAGCTTAATCTTACAGCCTCTCGTTAAAAAATAAAAATAATTATTAGTTATGTTCACGTTTTTTTATAAGGCATGGGAATTTTGTGCAGTTTGCATTACAGAAGGCTCTGCAAACTCTTTGTGGCCGCTTTAAATGTTTTTTGTAATTAATCTAGAGCTAAAGCTGATGATAGAGCTTCTTTATTCACAGGGGGGTTGTTTGTTTATTATATCAGGTACACTATTCACACTTAGGAGGGCTCTGTCAGTGTCTGTGTTCAATGTTCACTTCTAGTTCAACACCAAAAGAAGCAGTTGGAAGCAATTGACTTGAAAGTTAATTATTTACAAAGTTAAGCTGTTAAGGAGGCAGACAAAATAACATAACAGAAATAATACAAACAAAATCCCAAAATTGACTCAAAAAATATCTATCTGAACATGTGCTTTTCTAATAGCCTAAACTGTCTCGGCAAGTCTTTTGTCTTTTCTGTGAGTAACTCTAGGTGGAATTAACTGATGGCTACTAGTGTAATCATAGAGAAGTGTTGACCCATAATGATCTCTAATTTCATATTTTTATTTTATTTCTTTTCTTTAATGTGGCAAAGAATTCAGTGAATTAGGGATCCAATTGCAGCTTTAAACCTGGGTGATGTTTTGAAGCTGGCGTGACACGAGCCAAACTAGTGTCCTGGGCATGTGCAAGCATGTGAAGAGTTTTCACAGCGCCAGGTGCAGTACTGTAAAAGCTAAACTTCCCAAGGGTGAATGTCCCAGTGAATTCACCCCAAGGTCACAGCGTGCCATTCTCAGAGAAACTGCAAAAAGCCTTAGAGCTACATCTTCAAGATTCTGCAGGCCTCAGTGAACATGTTGAATATTAAAGTTCATGAGAGTATAAATGGGAAAAAGACTGAACAAATGTGTCTTGTTTGGAGTCTTTTCTCTCCAAAAGCATCATCACAGCAGGGCTTAAATCTTCCAGGTTATAGCTAAACAAACCACAAGACTTCTGAAATGATGTCCTTCATTTACGAAAATGTGCATGGAAACATTCTTGCCTTCTGTAAATTTGGGATCAGATTCATGAAAGTGTACACTGGCCCATTTTGTTTGTACCACAGTAAATCTGTAAATTACGTAAGTGAAGTCATATGCATGTCTTCTGCCCACATTCTTATGCAGACTTTACAGTTCAGAGGTGCTAATGTACATTAAAAAAATATCTCAACTCTGATTTTTGGCTTTTTGCAGCTTGCCCAGCCCATACGCCTCCTGCTGGAGTATACTGGGGAAGAGTACGAGGACAAATACTATGTCTGTGGGGAAGGTAACTTATCATTTCAGTCTACTGATTTAAAGGGGGGAAAAAACTCATAACTCTCTAATTAATTAATTAATGTCTCACAGCTCCAAACTATGACAAGACCTGCTGGATTGATGTAAAAAACAAACTTGGACTGGACTTTCCCAATGTAAGAGTTTTTTTAAAGTGCGACTAAAAATTCAATTGTGAAGAATGCAACAATCAGCTAACATTATTATTGGAATTTATATCTCACTATAGCTACCCTACTTGCTGGATGGAGACAGGAAGCTAACACAAAGCAATGCTATCATGAGATACATTGCTCGTAAGCACAACATGTGTAAGTACAGTAGCGTGCATTTATACCACATGAGCATTTTGTTTGAGAAGTTATATTGTAAATCAATGTTAAACTAATATTACTGTTAGTTTCTTTATTATTTATGTGATTCTTGTAAACTTTGACAACAGGTGGAGAGACTGAGGACGAAAAGGTTCGAGTGGACATCATTGAGAACCAGTCAATGGACTTTAGAAATGGGTTTGTGAGGCTGTGCTACACCAACTTTGTGAGTGTTTAATTAAAATAAAAATATCCATAAATATAAATATTCTTTGAATTCCCTAAAACTCCACTAACGCTAGTGTCATCTCTCTGGTTTCTTCAGGATGAGATGAAGCCTGATTACCTAAAGATGCTTCCAAATACACTAAAGCAGTTCTCCGACTTCCTCGGAGATCGGAAGTGGTTTGCCGGTGACAAGGTATACCTGTCCATAAATATGAGAGGAGTCTTGTTTTAAAGCTGCGTTTACAGATTTGAATTTAATAGACAAACTGGGGGCAGAATTTGACAATTTGAGGCTCTTTTTCTCTAAATTATGCGTTGTTTTTAGATATGAACATAAAATATTTTGTTAGTTGTGCAGAGAAAAACTTGTACTTTTTATGCTGTGCTAGCTCATCAGTATTAGGCAGGATGCAGCCTAAATTTAATACTGGTTCTTAAACTGATTTCTAAATAATTGGAGGAGAAGGTGAAGCTGGCAGTAAGTTTGTGGATAGAAAATCAAAGTGGTGAACTAGAGCTTCATAAAGCTGCAGAAGTGTCTGATTCTCTGCAGGTTTAACGATGCTGGTGACTTACTGTTTGATTTATACCACACATTCTGTTACTTCTAACATGCTTATGCAACTTTTTTTCACAACAGATAACTTTTGTGGACTTCATTATGTACGAGCTGTTGGACCAACACAGGCTCTTTGATTCCAAATGCCTGGACGACTGCAAGAACCTCACAGACTTTTTAAACCGTTTTGAGGTGAGAACAGTTAAAGTCTTTCCATTAATGAAGTAATTTAACCTTTTATTTTTTACCTTTCTTTGTGTGGTGTTGATTTCCTTTCGTTTCTTAAAACTCCATTGTTTTTATTTTAATCAACGGCCATTATGTCATTGCAGGCTCTGGAGAAGATCGCTGCATACATGAAGTCACCAAGATTCATGAAGGCTCCGATAAACAACAAGATGGCCAAATTTGGAAACAAATAGTAAATAACAGTGCCTTTTTATGCCCTAGAAAATTCATGAAAAATGTTAATTAATGAAACTGTCAAATTAACACCAAAGTCATGACTGGGGAAAGTGTCATTTTGCTCTCCGACTGGTAGATTTGATGGTGTTTAATTACGTCACATGCCGTTTGTAAAACCATTAATGATTTCAGATTTGGGGCGGTCGGGACTAATTTGTACTGAAACATTTCTAATGAAAGCACTTATTGTTAGAATTTATAACCTTTTTCTTTGGCACATTAAAGTGAATTTTGTTCTGACTCTTTGTTGGTGTTTCAATCTTAGCGTAATGTCCTGCACAGCAAGTCGCATCAAAATGTATCTGATGTAGTTTAATGCAGCACAAGAGCAGAAAATGCATCCGGTTCTTGATTTTTTTTTATTTTTTATTTTTTGTTGTAAGTTTAAGTTTGTTTTGTGCTTTTTTTTTTTTAGTTTTTTATGTTTAGGGGCACTTAATGGAAGAGTACAGCATTGCTGCTTGAGTTTGGACTGAGGTCATGTGATACATGTGCCATAAACAGTGTACCGATTAAAGACATGCTGGGGAGATTATCCGTCCCTGTGTACTGATTAAACAATTTATGGTTTAGTATATTTTATAGCTTTGCTTCTCCAGGTAGTCTAATAGCACTATGAAACATTTTTTTTTAGAGGAAGGTCAAGAGTTACTTCCTGGGTCCAAACAACATTAAAGAGGGAAATAACAGCAAATTTTCCACTTTCCTTGTTTTTACATCAGGAAATTGCACAAAAATATGTAAAGATATCACATCATGTAAAAAGAGAAAGCTGCATTATGGGAATGTCTTTAGAGCTGCTAGTGGGCAAATATTAGAGATAAAATATAGAGTCAGTGTGCCCAAGGTGCTTGCTTCTTTCTTTAATTTATCACAATGATTAAAATATCATAACACAAGAACTGAGAGAGTCGGGTCAGGTTGGAGTTAGAGATTCAGGATCTCCTTCAGAAGTTCCTTCTTGTTTGCAGTGGTGATGGAAAGGCTGATAGATGGTGTCACGCTGGAGTCTCAGTGGACTGTTATGTTCACAGACCTGTAGTGACAATAGGGAACAGGTGAAAAGACAGGTGGAGGTGTGCACTGTAGACAGAGTTAGAGAAGCAAGGCTGAGATGGTTTGGACATGTGCAGAGAGGGTATCGTGGATATATTGAACAAGGGATGTTGAAGATGGAGCACCCAGGCAGGAGGAGAAGATGAAGACTACATAGAAGATTCATGGTTGCAGTGAAGGAGGACATGAAGACGGTTGGTGTGAAACAAAAGGATACCATGGATAGGGTGAGATGGAGGCAGATGAAGAAGAAGCCAAAAGAAGAAGAAGGTGATTAGAACAGCGGTCTCCAACCTTTTTTGCGCCACGGACCGGTTTATGCCCGACAATATATTCACAGACCGGCCTTTAAGGTGTCACGGATAAATACAACAAAATAAAACTAGTACCGCTACCGAAAAAAAGAAGATTTATTCATAACACGTGAAAAGACCCAGGAAAACCGAGTTAACGATAAAAATGATAACAAACTAACGCTGAAAACCCCTGAAAACCATACATTTCACACCTGAGCCTCAACTCTCGCGGCCCGGTACCAAACGACTCACGGACCGGTACCAGTCTGAGGCCTGGGGGTTGACCGCTGGATTAGAATATTGAACTGTCTGTTTTTCTGTATTTTCACAGTTTGTGTCATATTTCTTTACAAGCTTTCATAATATTAACAGATAATAAAGTATCATGTACACTGGCTCCAACACTGACTGATCAAAGATGGAAGACATCTGCATCAACTGTACAAAGAGAGAATTTTTTGCAATTTTAGCAATGTTGATTAATAATTTCGTAAAGGTAGGATGGAGGGTGGAAGTTCAAGGCACCAGGAGTGCAGGGCATATATGGATGACTGAGATGTTACATGAAAGCGTTCCATAAGAATGCCAAGCAAATAAAGGTTGTAGAGGCCATGTACGAGTAGAAGGCTGCCAGAGAGATAGAGTAGACTGAGATAGCAGCTTTTATAACTTGAAATAACATGACAGGTTTGGCCACCTATCTGAAAATAAGCAAAGAAAAACAAGGAAAGCAAGCTACAGCATGAAGCCATTAGGGTCAGATTACTTTTAGATCAACAAAATACACACTTATGCCTCTGCACTACTAGTAATATCTCAGTAAAGGCTTAAAAAATATATGTTCAGATTGAGCACAAACACTAACGTGGACTCAAGGACAAACTGATTAGCACGCAGCGGTCAAACATCGAAATCATCATGACTGCGCAAAACAATTTTTTCAGTGTTTATTATGAACATTAACAAAGTCTCCACTGATTGTTTGAGACAATTTAAAATTACAATCAGATACAGCCTGACTTAGTAAATCTAAGACTAGAAAATGAGATATTCAAATATTATTTTATTGGCTTTTCTGTTTATATTATCTGTCTATAGCGAGTCTCTTCAAGTTCATTAAAAGGTTTTGATAAAGCAAGTTTAACCTGCTCCATTAACATTTTTGTTTACATGTAGCAAATAAATTTACAGCGAGCAGACAGAAACTTAAAATGCTAACACACCCAGTCCTGAACTTTTTAACGTAATATATTTTTGGTGCTGCAAAAAAGATGGATGAGGTGGAAAGCAGCCAAACTGGTTTAAAATGCGATATAAC